TTTCTGCCCATATGGGCATAGATAATTCAAATCCTACTGGAGATTTTTATCTCAGAGAGAAAGACCAACTAGAATAGAGTTTGCTAATTTAAAAGTAATCAGGACCCACTTACTTTGAAGAGGAACCTACAAAACAGGTGATAGCTATCGTGGATATAAAAGTGGCTATGTTTGTAGAGCGAGGGGTTTTCTATATCAATGCATGCAAAAAAAGGACAAGCTTACTTATTAGAAGCCCGTCCATTTTTTCCAGCTATAGCTTTTCATTTAATGAAAGTTATCACCTCCCTTGACAAAGCACACGCTATTTAAAAAGATTGATAGATACATATTACTAAAGCAATAGCTTTGCAGAACATGTCATATTTGATGACAAGGTATGTTTTCTTTAAAGCTAAAATCAGATGAAACATTTATTTTTTAACACACACTCTAAGGGTCTCCACCCACATCTGTTTGTTCAGATGAAGTATGGAAGTAGTGGAATTTATTCAATACCCATGGGCTGAGCAGGTTAACAAAGCTCTAGACAAGCTGGAGGTTTTGAAAGAAGTTGGGTTTGCTGAGCATTTAGTCCAATTTATTTTTACTATAAACTTAAAGGATTAACCAATGTTTGAGAGAAAGGATTAATCTGAGATGCATGTAGATGTCTTCATCCTACTGAACCAGTCACTAGAGCCCCTGTTACAGATGATGAAGAAAAATGGGCACTTTTAGTGATGATTTATCCCAATGTAGTTTGTAAAATAGGACAGCCCTCAATATAGGGAGACTGCAATAAATAGTAAAATTATAAGATAAAGAGATCCCACATTGGATCTGATACTATGGTCAGTAATTAAGTGTTATAATTTGTGTTTAGATGTCAAAACAAAATGTCTTTGACGTTCTTGGCTTGTCTTCCTCTCACCACCTCAGTTAATAGAAAGAACAGTCTTAGCAGAAGAAAGGCAGAGACCTTAAACCCCTATATGATGTTGTCTTGATGGTTAAAGATTTACTCAGGAAATAGAAGCTGAAGTTTAAAGTCCCACCTCTGTTCTTGCCCCAGCTGTCCTGTAGGGCTCAGTTTAGCTATTTGGCACTTCTCTAGACCAAGAAGCCCTTGGGAAACTGCCTTGTCTAAGGGCAGCCATCCAGGAAAACAGAACAGCTTCTCTTCTTTCTGCATTTTGGAAGAAAATAGAAAAAAAAAAAAAAAAAAAAAGGCCAACCAGCTGCAGCACTTTTTGACAGCATTTTTATTTGGGTGGTTTGCTTGCCCAGCCTTCCCACGAGCGCTGCGCCGCAGCCACACACCCTTCTCCTCCCCCCGTGGGATTTGCTGCTTTCCCCATCCAAAGAGCATGTTCAACACAAACACTAGTGGCCGTCTCCACTGGCTGCACGCCTTACTCACGATCTCTAATCTCCGAGTGGGAGCCGGCCAGGAAAATAAATAAGTAACGTGGTCCCCTGCCTTCTTCAGCGGCAGCCGCTAGGAAATTCCCAGATAGGGATACACACACATACAATTTTTTTTTTTTCCCCTCCCCTGTGCTTACAACGCCACACGCTGTCTCAACCCGGGAACAGCTCGCAAGAAATCCCCGACTTGCTGAGTTCATTTTCTTGACACTTGACAATTTTTGGGGGGAGTAAGTGTCAGCCTCCTGCCCCCCGCCTCCCTCCACCCGGTGGCATGGCAGCTACGGCACGTTTTAATAGCACCCTCTAGCACAGCAGCCCCCTGGAAGTGTCAAGGAACACTTGGTTGCAAAAGAAAATCGTGGGCTTTCTTTAAATATAGCTGTTTGCTTCGAAACCCGCAGCCTCACGGCAGGGAAAACAGCCTGGCCTTGCCATGCCTGCCTGCAAGAGGGGCTCAGCCCCCCCACTCCAGCCCGAGGATCCCCAGGGGCTAAGCCGAGGTAGCACCTCTCTGGGCCCATGTGGGCTTTGTCCTGCGAGCCTGCTACTGCTATTGTTCAGCTCCCGGGTCCTTTCTAGCCAAAAGGAGGCCCTGCAAAGCTGTCAGCCATGCAGTGATATGAAACATGCCTTTCAACAGCAAAGATGGGCTTTACAGCGCAAGGTGTCCGATTGTGGCGCGCAATGACCTTAGCCCAAGTGCACCCCCTAATCCACCCCCACGGGTATTTCATAGGAGAGGAGCAACCCCAAGCTGCTCATTGAGATTCGGCACACACGGGCTTGGGGGCAATATTTAGAGGGTGTCAGGCAGGGTCGTGTGACTGTACCACGCGGGCTGTAAGGGAGCAGGCTTGAATTCCACCCGCTCAGTCTGATTTCAAACTGTCCAAACCTCATTTCATGACAGAGCATCTTATGAGAAGATTAAAGCCCATAATGCCAGGCAGGAAGATTCTTTATCTAGATCTCTGTTTGCAAAAAGTATGATCCCGGAGACTGGAATGCAAAGAAGAGTTCCCCCAAGGCTGAATTATTGTCACCAGGACAGAGGAGGGAGAGGCAGGGGTGGTAAAAGGGACATTGATAATGCGCTACAGCAAGTATTTAGAGCAAGCTTCTACATTTAAAATTCAAATACAGATCTTGAGTGCCTTGGAAAAGTGGCTCTGCTGTGCAAATAGTGCTTGGAAGGTCCTGGGTTTTTTGGAGAGTATGTGTGTGAATTGGCACATAGGGTTTCTGCACCTGAACAAATAGGGAGGGGGAGAAAAGGGGGGAAAGAAGCTGGGAAAAAAATGGAAGTGTCCTCTCTTCCAAGAGTGTCTGCATTTATTACATGAATCAGAATGACAATGCTGATCCTTTATTGGATTTTAATTAGAGAACCCAAACAAGCACTGCTCAAAGAAGCAGATTTTCACACCTCTGCCAATTCACTGGCATGTTTGTAGAGCTGCTACACTACTAGATCTATTCATCAAGTCCCTGAATATGCAAACAAAGCTCTAGCCAGACCTTTACCGCCAGCTTGTAGGAAGGTGTAGTTTGCTAGCGGAGGGCTCCACATAAAGCACATAGCTTGTTTGTTGCCATGTCCTCCCTGAAGAGGCCTTGGAGATCTCGCTGCTTCATTTCTGAAGGAGAAGTGATAAAGTCATTAGCAAATCAATAACGGTCTAATTTTCACTCTTCCTGTCCTTCCTGAGAAAGTCATTAGGAGACACTCAAGGATTTATTTAAATCATAAGAGCTTCAGTACCAGCCACAGAGGCAAAATATAAAATCTGACTGCCTTTAGGAGATAAATCACCACGACTCTAATCTGGCATAGGGAGTAAGTGGGAGAAACCAGGGGAAGGCGAGGGAAGGATGAAGAATGTCAACAGCTGTAGCAACGACACTGGCTACTGTGACGTACCACAGACTACAACCCAATATACAGAAAATCAGAGTTTTCAGGAACACTGCAGAGTCCCTTGGTTAAGTCAGGGACAGATCTGGAGGAGGCCAGAGGTCCTCTCCCACCACCTTGCACGTGGCTGAGCTTCCAGAAAGGGGTTTGCAAGAGACAGTCTCATAGCTATTTCTGCTTTCTTTAAACCTGCCATCGTTCGTCTTGGTAGCACTGGAAAGCAGCAGCAGCTGGCGACAGAATTTAGTGTCTAATTCCAAGAGCTGAAGGAGCTGAAGGAGGGATGTGCTTGGGTCTGGCACAGGCGTGGGGCTGCCTGGGAACCACACACCCTGGGACAGGAAACAATATCCTCCTTCCAGTGGGGTAGGAGAGACGAAGGAGATGATGCTTTTTTTTTGAAAAGAGGAATGAATTGGAGTGCTGGGGATGCCAGGCAGGGTGGTGGCATGTGCCTCAGCAGCTATCGTGCCAAGCAGGAAGGCAGCAAGGGCTGGAGGCAGCATGGGGTCATGCACAGGGAGATGGAGAGGTGCTCAGGAGATCTAGGCTGTTGCTTTCCAGTGGGGTGGTAGGCAACTTCATGTGCTCCTTGGGGTAAAGCCTTTTCCTGCTCTCTGCTGTCTGCTGCCCTAGATGGGCTCCCTGAATAAGAACATGAGCACCGCAAGTATTGTGAGCACAGACACTCGCCTAGAGGAGAAACCTCATCCCAGCAAAACTGCCTGGCTCTGAAAGCCTGCTAGTTGTCTGGCATCAGGTGTTGGTGCAGGGCAGACAGTGGTCAAGTGGGAAGCTCTTCCAGAAAAGATTTGTTCTGGAACAGCTTTCTCAGAGGAAATATTTTGGCCCATTGCCTTAATGAGAAAAACCACCCTTGTAACTCCTAACTCAGGGGAAGAAGCACCGGCTCAAATCTCAAATCTGGCAGGAGGAAAACTCTCTCTTGACTCTCTGAGTACAAATGGGACACATTCATAGATGAGAATGGAGGAATTTTGGAGGGGATTGAGGCTGCATCCGCCACTCGTGCCTCACGGGAAGGTTGGGGTGGCTGGGGAAGCAGCATGTCCCCTTGTGCCCCCATGCTGCGGCCTGGCAAGTGCCCCCTCTAACCCCTCTGTACCTCTCTCCTTACACAGAAAACTCAGTGGCGGCCAAATCAGGTGGCTGCTTCCCTGGCTCAGCCACGGTGCACCTGGAGCAAGGCGGCACCAAGCTGGTGAAGGACCTGAGCCCTGGAGACCGGGTGCTGGTAGCCGACGCAGAGGGCCGGCTTCTCTACAGTGACTTCCTCGCTTTCCTTGACCGGGAGGATGGCTCCCACAAGCTTTTCTATGTCATCGAGACACGGCAGCCCCGGGCCCGGCTGTTGCTGACGGCTGCCCACCTCCTCTTCGTGGCCCCCCAACACAACCAGTCGCAGGTGGGGACCCCCAGCAGCCGGGCGCTCTTTGCCAGCCGCGTACGGCCAGGCCAACGGGTCTACGTGTTGGGCGAGGGTGGGCGGCAGCTTCTGCCGGCAGCCGTGCACAGCGTCTCACTGCGGGAGGAGGCTTCAGGGGCATACGCCCCACTCACCGCCCAGGGCACCATCCTCATCAACCGGGTGCTGGCCTCCTGCTATGCCGTCATCGAGGAGCACAGCTGGGCTCACTGGGCGTTCGCTCCCTTCCGCCTGCTCCAGGGGATGCTGGCTGCCCTCTGTCCCTCTGGCGGGGGGGCCCCAACGGGTGCCCCCACCAACCCCGGCATCCACTGGTACTCTCGTCTCCTCTACCGCATCGGCAGCTGGGTGCTGGATAGTGACTCTCTGCACCCACTGGGCATGGTGGTGCCGTCCAGCTGAGAGCATCCCATGCTGCACCGGCCACCCGCCAGCCTCCGAGGGAGAGACAGAGACACACAGAGAGAGAGAGAGAGAGAGAGAGAGAGAGAGAGAGAGAGAGAAAGAGAAAGGAGAAAAAATGAGAAAAAAAAAAAGAAAAACCTAAAAGAAAAAAAAAAGACAAAAAAATACATATTTTTAAAAGAGAGCACGGATTAAGACTTAAAAATAATAATAATAAAATAATAATAATTAAGTAGGACAGTCCAAAGTAGACTTTAAGGGAAACAAAGACCCCGGGAAGTTCTGTTCCGTTTAGTTTATAAATATATATATATATTTTTATTTGTTCTTTTGTTTCGTTGTTTTGTTTGTTGGTTTTTTTTCCTCCTCTCCTGGATATTTATTTCTTTGGTATTTTGAATAGATGTTTTAAATGATATGAACCGGACCTTCAAGAGCCTTAAATAGTTTCTTTGATAATTTATTATCATGTGAACTGTACTCACAGGGGAAAAAATTATTTTGTGAGGCCAAGCAAAACTGCGCAGAGTCTATTTTTCTACATGTCACGTGTGTCCTGACTTTCAGAAAGCAAAATTCTGTACTTTCCCATCTCTCCATTACATTGCTCCTTCATTTCAGCAAGTCTAAAAATCAAGCAAACAAACAAAAAAAGACAAACTTCATGGGGGTCCGTAAATTATATTTTTATACACAGAATTGTAAATTAGATTTTTTTGAGAGATCAATACTTAACTGAATCACATTTCGTTTTTTGAAATAGTGTAAAATATGAGAATATATTATTTTAATTTAAATAGTTTCAAATGTAACGTCATTTCCTGTATTGTTTTCCATGTTTTGCTTTGTAAAAACACCATTTGGCCACGTTCATGGAAGTCAAGACTGTTACACAAACTTTTTATTTGAAAAAAACGTAAGAAACTTTGTTATTTTTAACTTCAAAAAAAAATTTATTAGAAAATAATATTTTTTAAAAAGCGCACATGGCGGCAATTCTGTGACGATGGAGACGGTAGTTTGTACAGAGGAGAGAAAAGGATGTTTTGCATTAATAAATTGAGAAATAACTGCTGTAAATTTACTAAAATGTATTTTTGAATATTTTGTAATAGTTTTAATAGTTTTATAGAAATAAAATGTGCCATGCACAGTCTGGTTAGAATATAATAACTAAGAGTTCCTGGTGCATCCCATTTTTTTTTTCCTTTTTGCTTATTGGTTTAGGAAACATGATCCCTAAAGGAGTGCCCATTATTTTATTTAGATGTGTTGCTTATAACTTTTAATTTTGGTACTTTATTTAAGGAAACAAATCCATCACATCCGCGCGTAACCTGGAATCTCTTGTACTAACAGTAGAACCTCACTTATTTGCACGAGTGACCGGGAGATGCGGTTTCCCTTTGCCGGAGCCCTGGCTCCCCGTCCACCTCCCAGCCTGGTCTGGAGACCATAGACAGCTCTTAAAATTGATTTCTGAGGGTGCTAATTCAAGTTTGCCCTTTGAAGCGTATTAATCTGAAGACAGGCAGCTGCCTTCACCTTGTGGTGGCACCATGATTTTAATTGGCTTTAATTTGGGTGCCCAGAAGATTGAAATCTGGGGTAGAGACACTGACTTTGGTAAATTAACTGGGATTCACGTGGCTTGATGCTGGAAGAAGGAGGTGGCCACCAGATTTCACTGGCCATCTTGTCTGAGTAACAATGTGGGGCTTGGGGCTACCAAGAAAAGAACAAGCCACCCTTTGCAAAACAAAAGAAAGGGATAAAAATGTGTTCATTTATTCTGAGATGTTCCTTAGCTGTAATGCATCAGAGTTTGCCCTGAGCCATTGATGGGTGAACATACTGGAGATGTGTTTTAGGAGCCGAGTGGTGGGGCCAGTGCTGCATCCCCTGCCTGGTCCCAGCCCCAAGCCCCACCGAGGGGCTCACTCTTGCCGGGTGCTGATGAGTGAGGTTCTGCTGCGCTGCGTGCTCCTCCCTGGAGGGTTTCCAGGATCCCTTTAAAAATTTTGCAAAACATTATGTGTGCTTGTGTGTGCGCATCTGCGACAGGACCGTGCCAGAGGGAGCTTTCCTTGAATGTCTTCTCACATTTTCTTTGGTTTCCATTACTTGCTGGTCTAGGATGTTCATCTGTTGGGCAGTCTTTTGCTCCAGAGACGCAGCCATGTCCTCCGCCTGGATGGACGGCAGCTCCAGGTGGCCTCCTGGGATGTCCTTGCCTGGTGCCACCTCCAGAGAGTGTAGACCACGCTCTTTCACACTGAAAGCTTGGGAGTTTCTGGAGCAGGAGCTGGTGGCTGAGCCCCAGGCACAAGCACCCCTGTGTCAAGCCCTAACAGATGTATGTGGTCTCTCCTTCCCAGCAGCTTCTAGTCCAGAGCCACTTCCACTCTCCAAAGCTTGGACATAGCCAGGGTGGTGAGACTTCGATGTGACCACCAGCATGCTGCAGCGCCCATGTGGACTGCTGGGATAGGAACCAAGCCACCTTAATGCCCACGTGGTGTGGGGCATTGCAGGGGACTGTGGACTGCCTGGTGGGTGCCGGGGACCTGCTGCCCACCCTGGCTCGGACTCTGTCATCTCCATGTCTTTGGGGGCTGCTGGGGTGTTGAGGGCTGCAAACATGGCTGGTTTGGGGCATGTGAAAATGTGATCGTGGAACAAATGAGTCTCTACTGTAAGAGTCTGGCCTTCATACAGCATTGTCTGGGCATCTGAGCTCTCTTACACCTGTCTCTGACTGGCAGCTGACATTTTGTAAAGCCTTTACACTCTAAAAACAACTATGTTGAAGCCCACCTTCTCCAGAGGTCAGGTGGTGGAGGTGTTTAGGGATGTCAGTGATCAAATGTAGAGCCGTTGTCCTGGGGGCCTCAATCTAAATTATAACTGAGATGAAAAAGACCCATTAGACCAGAGTCCATGCTTGTGTCAGGGTAGGGTACATGACCCAGTAGGGATCATATCAGATATTGCTGCATTCAACCTTCACCAGAAGGCCAAGGCAAGCTCAGAGCTTTGTGGTGTGAGAGAAGCTAAGATGCTGTCTTATACTAGGATCAACAAGTTTCACCAAGTAAAGAAATTCTGTGCTGTGTTCTCCATCACACGTATTTCAAGCGACTGTACGCCTCCCTCTCACCATATATTTATTACATCTCTTCCTTTGGCGCCTCACATCTGGATCACCTCTCCGTGGTATGCATTAGAAGTGCTTTGTTAGATGGACCGATCCAACCTATAGCTACAGCTCTCGTATGAAGGATGTACTGTCATAACATTGTGCAAAATGTCTAGGAGATGTCACCATCCATTTTCAGGGTCCAAGTATGGCAATAGTTTGTATAAAATGTACACATAGTGGTGGCTACAGAATAGTTTATGACTAAATACATATCTATTACTGTTAAAATAATGTATAAGAATGTACTTGAAGCTATTATCCTTGTGCTCTGTTGTCTGAATAATTAAAGAAATTACAGAGACTTCCTGAAATGTCTGTTATGTGACCGCATTCCTATCGTACACTCTCAGCTCTGTTTTTTCCTCCAGTGATATTGAAATGGGGTATGGGGAGCCCAGTGCTCAGTCCTGTGGGATTTGGCACAGGATCCTTCAAACACAGCAGAAATTATGCCCATGCCACCTCATGTGATGGCGTCAACCTCCCTTTTCTCCCACCTAGAGCCATGTAGAGTCTATCATTTACCTGCAAAATACTGCATGGCTCTGCAAAGCCAACTCATTTGGCAGGGATCTGTGGGGAGACAGAGATGACCTGAAGGTCAGCCCATCAGTGGTTGCCTGTCCCTCCCCAGCCTCCCTCATCCAAGACAACATGCAAAGTGACCCTAATGAGACAGGAGCTAGTCTGTGTTTACCTGACTGGTCTTTCATGCAGTGCCCCGGTGCCCAGACACCAGGTAAACTAACCAAAGGGAAGCTTCGATACGCCAGTAAGAGAGGATCACATCCACAGCACAGTTAAAATCCAAGCCAAGCACTGGAGTAAACCAAGTTTTTCACAGCCAGCTAGCCAGGCTGTGCCACAGCCAGCAGCTTTGTGCCCTCACGTATGAAAGTTTGCTTAGCTATATCTTTTTATATAGATACGCACATATATGTCTACATATATAATATTATTATCCCTATATTAAGAGCTCAGCATATCCTACCGGGCTATAAATATGTTTACACTGGCCCTCCTGAGCACTTCACATTCACGCCAAGGTTGAGCGGGTGATGTAAATCAGCCCAGTTGGGTGATAATTGGGCAGCAGTTTTGCAACTCCAGTACAACATCTATTTCAATTATATGGGAAAGGAAATATGAAAGAGCATTTTATTTTACTCATTACTGCAAGCCATAAGGGACCACTAGATTTCCTAGGCTTTTGAAATCCTCTTTTCAGCAGTTTCTGCCTTAGAACTAGTGCAATCTTTATGAAAAAAAAAAAAAAAAAAAAAAAAAAAAAAAAAAAAGGTCAATTTTCCATGTACAGGGAGCAGTGTTAATGCAATCCTTGGCCTATGCAGGCTAAAAGAGAAAAAAATCATAATTAAAAAGTGCATCTTTGCAAGTGATGGGTTTTTCTCAGATTTTGATGGGAGCAGGATGAGGCCTACAGGCACTGTCTATGCCCAAATTGTTAAATATAATTTTTAATGCTTTGCATTTGGGATCTTTAGGATTACATATTTAAATAATTTTGGTTTCCAGGACTGAAATGAAGTGAGCAAATCCAGGAAATATGAGTTTAATAATCCTGTCCTGATTCCAGTAATCAAGAGAGGCATTCAGAGCTGATTCGGGTGCACAGGGAGTTGTGCTGTTACTGTAAAGCCCAGTGCAGGACCCTATATAACTTCTTTTCCTTCCATTTTTAAGTGAGAGAAAGCCAGCTTTTCGGACAAATATTGCTGCAAATCAGGAGTGAAACCACAAGGTTAGAAAATCTGTTTGGGGTAAAAATATTTGTTTTGATGTCCTGTGACCTAAATGTGAAATAAATATTAGATTTGCTCAGTTTGGTGTAAACAGATGTCCGTTTGTATTACCAAGG